CTGAGTCAGGTAACCCAGACTCAGAAGGACAAACATGATATGTACTGACTCATAAGCAGATATTAGAAGTAAGGCAAAGGATAACCACACTACAACCCACAGCACCAGAGAAGCTAGCTAACAAGGAAGACCCTACAAGGGACACATAAATAACCCAGTGCAAGAGAAATAAATAAGATCTACCTGAGCAAACTGGGGGGGCAGGGGTAATGGATGGAAAAGAAAGAGGGATGAGAACATAAGGAAATGGGAGGTTAGAGCTGGAACAGGGACAGAGTTGGAGAGCAAGAGATACCATGATAAATGAAGATATCATGGGAATAGAAAGAGGCACGGTGCCAGGGAAGTTCTCAGGTTCCACAAGGATGACCCCACCTTGGATTACTGGCAATGGTAAAGAGGGTGCCTGGACTGGTCTACTCTGGTGACTGGACTAGTGAATACCCTAACTGTCATCATAGAGACTTCATCCAGTGACTGATGGAAGCAGATGCAGAGATCCATGGCTTGGTGCCATGCTAAGCTCCAGGAATCCAATCAATGACAGAGAGGAGGGATTCTGTGGGCAGGGGACGTTGAGATCATGATGGGAAAATGTGCAGAGATGACCAGCCACACTAGTGGAAACCCATGAACTGTGGAATGATAGCTGTGGAGTCCCCATGGGACTAGACTAGGCTCTCTGAATACAGGAGACAGTTGTATAGCTTGAACTGTTTGGGGGCCCCCAAGCAGGGTGATCAGAATCCATCCCTGGTGCATGGGCAGGCTTTTGGGAGCCCAGTGCCTGTGGTGTGACACCTTGCACAGCCTTGGTGCAGGGAGAGGGGCTTGGACCTGCCTCAGCTGAGTGTGTCAGGCTCTGCTGACTCCCCATGGGAGACCTTGACTTGGGAAATGGGGGGTGATGGTTTGGTTGGGGGGAAGGCTGAGGGGTGGGAATAAGGAAGAGGGGGGATCTGTGGTTGGTATGTAAAGTGAATAGGAAATTTCTTAATAATAAAAAAGTCTGACATATAATGATCATAGCCAAATTACATGTCAGAGGTAGTTACCAAGGTCTCATGTCTACACAGCAATAATCAGAGAATATTAACCATGAAGCACTATGGAAGAGATAAGAGTAGCAGTGGCAATGGTTATAATGACGATCGAGGGCCAGGCTGCCTCTTCCTCCCACCCCTTCAGCCACATCAGAAACCCACCCCAATATTTAAGCATGGGAAGAGCACTTACCCCTCCTGGTGTTGTGTGTGGTTAGCACAGCCCAGGAGGACACTGAGGCAGCTCTCACCAGGAATCAAGAGTGACCTCCCTGCAGAGAACAATGCCAGTCACTGTACATCATCAGAAACCATAGATTCCATGCTCACCCAGAATGGCTACAACATCTCTTTCAGAGAATAATCCTCACTCCCAGGAAGGTTTGCAATAGGAACTTGCTAAGCAGACTGTAGGAGATGTGCACTACAGAGCATTCATTCCCAACCTATACCTTACTACATGCACAAAATCTGCAGCATGCATTCAGCAGTGAGTTCAGACACCTGTGGTCCAAACTAAGGCCAGGACAGAGTATCTAAGGTAACCCTACTAGATGCCAGCATCCCAAGGGGGAACCACTGTGAACTGCATGATCTGCAGATCCTCACTGTGCTTTCTCCCCCTAAAAATGTAACAGCCAACTCCAAGGCCTCCATCTGTTTTCTGTTGTTGTTGTTACTGAGGCCACAGAGCAGACAGTAGACAGAGGGGTGTGTCAGTGAGCCTTTTCTCTCTTGGACAGCTTATCTGAAATAACCCAGTGAGGGAAGCAAATATTTGGTTTGAATCACAGTTTCAGAGACTTCAGGCCGGTGTCTGCTGGCTTCTCTGCTTTGGGCCTGAGGCAAGTCAAGCTTTGTGTATCTAAAGACACTATCAAGAGAATGAGGACTGAGGACATGGCCAGGTGGGTAAAGTGCTGGTCTCATGTGCATGAGGATCTGAGTTTATCCCTGAAGTAAAAAAGCCAACTATGATCACATGAATTTGTGATCCCAGCTCTGGGGTGGAGACAGGGGGGTCCCTGGGACTCCCTGGAGAGCCAACTTTGACAATACAATGAATTCTAGGCCTATGCAGAGACCTTATCCTAAAACCAAGATGGAAGAGCAATGACAGTTGAAGTTGACCTCTGACCTTCATGTGGATGTGCACATACACATTCACAAACACATGGAACCACATAAAGTAAAGATTCAAGGAGAAAGAGAAGAGGGCTATGGAGTTAGCTTAGTGGTGGAATGCTGGAATGAATTATATGTGTGAAGTTTTGGTTCCCCAGTTCTTTGAGTGTGAGGAGACAACCCCCAGGATGGGAAGAAATGTCTGTAGCTCAGGTGTCTGTGCATGGAACTATTATAATAACTCAAACCGTTGGATATACAAAGCCATCCTTCACACCACCAGGAAGGCTATATGATTCTTCAGCTGTTACATCAGTGTGTTGTCACAGCCAGGCTGAGTATGGGTCATTAGGGACCAAAGCTATGGTGATGGAGAGGATGGACACCATCCAGCTAGTCAGGAACACACTCCTGGATTGACTCAGCTTCGACTAGTGTCTGGTCCTGGGATCCTTCACAGTGGTCAGTCAACAATGGGGCTCACCTCAGCAGGTGCTGTGAGGATGCAACAGGGTCTTAGGCATAAAGGACAGAGCAACAGTGGTGGCCATCATTGTCTCTGTGTGGAGAGAGAAAGAGAAGAGCAGGAAGAGGGGCTTCTGCCCAGGGAAGAATCCTCTGTGAGACACTGCTGTGGTGCTGAAATGATCCACGTGAGATAGTTGTGGAAAACAATCATATTTGGCCAATTCATGGTTTAAGTACTGTTATTAATGATGAGACCAAAAAGAAGCTTATGCCTCCAAAAAGTCTGTAGGTGCCCAAGCTCAGGGACACAGCATGTGTAAAGGAAAGAAACCACAAAGACCATAATTTACAAATAAGTTAGGTGTAAGTCAGATTAATTTGAAATGTTCCTTCCTGACAGAGCAAAGTTACTATTTCAATCATAATTTTGGGTTGTAGCTTCTTTGTGATTTCCTTTATTTGGTCTATTCTGTGCACCATGGACATGTCCCTGGAACTCTCAAATACATGTGTAGGCAGACATGACTGTGGTGTGGGAAAAGAGAAGACTGAGAAATCTGTGAGGAAACAAAAATGGAGTCAGACCATGAAGGACTTACCTTAGTCATTTAAGTGAGAGCCTGCCTATTGTCTTCTGACTTGTCTTTCCATACTCTCTCCCTTGGTCATAAAGACTAAGAGGGGGATGAGTGGTCTTGTCTCATGTCTGGTGATGCAGAATTAATTGCCTTCAAATAAATGCAAAACTTGGAAAAACATGAAATATCTCATAATGTAAGGCACCCGTGAGGAGCCAGGCGGGATGATTCTTCCCCGGGATCTCTCAGGAGTCATTCTGTTAGATGAAGACTTGACACATGTTGGAGGCTCCATGTCCAAGATTGCTCTCATGACTTTCTTTTTCCTCTGGTGCTATAAACTGAACCAAGGTCTAGAGTTTTCTAAGCAATCCCCCCGACCACTGAGCTAACACCCAGTCCTCTCACAGCTTATAATGGAAAATCTCTCTGGGCCTACTCAAAGGGCTGCTCAGGAAGGCAGGTATATCAATTGGAGGAACTTCTCCACAGGCTCAAGATGTTATCTACTGCTATTCTTAGTTTTTTGATTGAAGTTAGTTGTCTGCTAAGTTAAAAGACTTCATTGTCACAAGGTTTCTAATTGAAACATATCTTTATATACCTCGAAAACCTAACTAATATGGCTATAAATTTGACTATTATAGATGACTATTAATCTGGATTTTATAATTATATATTACATATTTAAATGAGCTGCATAAACATAATATCACTAAAAAGAGTAAAAATATACATACAGTGTGAAAAATTGACTTTAAATTTGTATCAATAACCTAAATTCCATACCAATATAAAATATTTGAGATTAACAGTTGTTTTTTGCCTAAAGTAGATGCAATAATCTATTTTTTCTTTTCATCATAATAATCTACCCTTTTCCCATCATATATATCATATCCCCTTTTCTTCTTTGGAAAGAGATTGACTATAACCAACAAAATATTTAGTGCCAGATATTGCAGGACAGAATTCTGGGTTCAAGTCAGGTTTGTTAACATGTGAAATCAATAAGGTACACTCATGACACAGAACAAAGCAGAGACATGGCCACTGATTCAGCTGCTGAGGTCCTGCCGTTCTGCCCAAGTGTGATGGGAACCAAACTGCAAGCCATGCTGTTCTGACCCTCACTATCTGCTCTGACCAGCCCGAGAGGGCAGGACCATTTCCCCACAGTTCTTAAGGTGTCACACATCTTGAGAAAAGACAACAATCAATGGGCCCAACAAACCGCTCCATGCAATTGGTCATTGGACAGAATGGCAGAATTCCCACAACTGTAGCCCCCACAGATGGAGGCATTTTCTCAATCGAGGGTCCCTCCTCTCAGATGGCTATAGAGAGTATCAAGTTGACATAAGTCTGGCCAGTGGAGAAGAGAAACAGCTGGAAATGCAGACTCTAAAATTTACACTTGAACTGGAGGGGAGGGGAAGGGAGTGGTAAGAACCAGAAGAAGCAAGTGATTGACACACAGGAGTGTCAAAACATAGACACTTTAGTTCACTTAGTGTGGATAGGGCCCTTTCAAAGGTGCCCCGTGCCCTCTCCATGGTTAAAGAACCAAATGTAAGCCAGTGTGGGGAGAAACAGAGATTCATTGAGGATTAAACGATCAGGTTTCTCTCTCTGGGGTGGCAGAGAAAATAAGCAAAATGGCAGCAAATGAAACAGTTTGTTTTAATGACAGTGAGGTAAGGATGTTTGAGCTGATTCAGCCTGTCTGGATTGAAAAGGAACTGGGTGTCTGTGCCTGCAGATGTTCGTGGAAGGTTAGGATGTCTCCTGATAAACAGAAATGCAACATGGTTGATCTGCTTCTCTGGAACACAGAGAACTTAAGCTACTGTTTACTCAGCCAAATCCTTCTTGTTAGGATCAGCACCTCCATCACTTGGGGACAACAGCTTTTGACAAAACACCAGCCTGTGGAGATTGACCACACTGTTGACACAAACACCACAGCTCTCATCCTATGGGGAACAACAGATACTTTATAAGAACAATTATAGGTGACAGGATCTGAGAACAGACTTAGGTTACTCAAATTCCATGTTCCAGTATGGAGACAGTTTCATGAAAACTTGATAGCTTAACCAAACAAAGTCACAAATCAAGGCAAGTTTAAAATGCAGGGGTGGGAACCTCAGGGAGGCAGATGCATCATCAAGATGGGGGAGCTTCTCCACAGTCTCAAGATGTTATCTGCTGGCATTCTTAGCTTTTGGATTGAAGCTGGTTGTCTGCTAAGTTAATAGACTCTATTGTCACAAGGTTGAGTTCTGACACAGAGGGAGGAAACATGGCTGTTCCAGAGAGCAGCACTTAGCCCATGAGGAGGTCATTAGCTTCTGACCTGCAGTGTTCCCATCTCTCTACAGTACTGAAATTCAGATCAGCCAGGCAGGCTCTGCAGACACAGATTCCTTTAGGAGTTTTCCTTCACTGCCAGACTAGGCAGCTTCCCTTCAGAACTCTGAGAGCCAAAGAGGGGACAGCAAGTCTCTGCTGAGAATATACTCATTGCTGCCAAACAGGACAGTTACACTGATCCAAGTGGGGTTCTGTCAGCAATGAGGCTTGTGTTTATTACTGTGTGAGTTCACTTAAGGAAATTGGGGTGTATGGTCATAAAGTTGTTGTATTCTTTTTGAAGTGGCTTAGAAATCTAGAACAACTGTTATCCGCAGCCCTACCCGGTGACAAGTTCAGCTGGTGCCCTGTCTTTTTAACTCTGACTTCTCCCCTGTTCCACATTGACCATTAAACAATTAGAGAAACAGCCACAATGGCAATCCAGTGGGCTTGTCATTTAGAACAAAGGTAGGGGATTTCCCATCAGGATGTGTTTCTGCTTCCTGGAGTTCGAAATAAACATTACAAGAAATCAGCCCATGTGTATGTTACTATACTTAGCACAGAGCACAATTTATTTATGCCAGCATTTCCTAAGAAGAGGGAGGAGTCCCTGATGGGATAAATAGGCATCAGTTTGCTTGGGGAAAACAACACACCGGGCAGGCAGCCACCCGAACATCAGAACTCAGCTATCACAGACAGCGGGCTTCAGCTCTGCAGGTAATGCCCAGGATTCTTTCTCTCTGGGGACAGGAAAAGTGCCTTTGCAGGACTGTGTGGTACTGGTTATGACCTGAGTCTAGGTTTGGAGGTATGAGAAGTTGTTCCTGGGGCACTGGGTTGAAATCAGGGGGCATTTCTGGGGTGCATATGAATCTTCTCTGCAGTCTGGGTCTTCATGTGTATGAAGATGCAGGAGCCATAGGCTATGCTCCTGGAGAGGGAATGGAGCCTGCTGCTTCTGACCCTCCACAGGGAGGAAGAATTGAGACCTTGACAATGCCAGGTGCAGCTGTAGGAACCAGAGAGAGACAGGACAGTGACAGAGTCCTTGTGGGGGTGGCGACATCCCTGCAGTGTTTACAGCAGAGAGAACATGTCTTGGGGTAAGGGACCTCACTTCCACAACAGATCACATGGCCAAGAAAAGGGACCACACCCTCTCCTAATAAGAAAAAGAAGGTTACAGCTCAGCCACTGAGCCAAGTCTCCTCTACAACCAGACTAGCCTGTTTTCTGTGGAAATAATTTTGACATAAAATATGGTTGCAAGTTTTCCAAAGAAATGGCTGTAGCATGAATTTTAGAGGGTATTATTAATAAAATCAAACCTGAGCCAGGTATTGGGGTAAACACTGGAAGATTAGAGAGACAGAAGAGGCCACAGCTTCCTCACCTCGACAATTCCTCAGCTGATCCTGTTTCCTCAGACTGGAAGCTTCTGTGTCCTCATTCCAATGGCTCTCAGCTGAACTGCTGCTCAAAAGCCTGAAAGCTTAACCAGCAAAATGCTTCTAGTTTCTGGTCTTCACGCCTTATATATCTTTCCTTTCTACCATCACTCCCTGGGATTAAAGGCTCACTTCCTGGGATTAAAAGCATGTGTCACCATGCCTGACTGTTTCCAAAGTGGCCTTGAACTCACAGAGATCCAGAGGGATTTCTACCTCAGGAGTGCAAGGATTAAAGGTGTGAGTGTCACCATTTTCTAGACTTTGTATCTAGTGGCTGTTCTGTCTCTGACCCCAGATAAGTTTATTAGGGTGCACAATGTTTTGGGGAACACAATACCACCACAAATGTTTGCATCAGTGTGACAGTAAACAGAGGGAAAAGGCAGCCAAAGTCCCTGGCCCCTCTGCAGGCACGGGCCTGCATAGCCCTGGCCACACGTGGCTCAGCTCCAACACCTCCCTCTCCTGCTCCCTCCATTCTCCTCCTCCAATCTTCTGGTCTTCCCTCCCCTCCATCATCCCCTTGGATCCTTCATCTGATCCCCCTCCCTCATTCAGTCCTCCCTCCTTTTCACTCCATTTTCTCACTCCAGCTTCTTTTCCCATCTGGTCCTCTCTCCTCTGTTCTTCTTCCTCACCTTCCTATTCCTCTAGCATCTACGTTCTCCTCTAAACTCTTCTACAGTGTGGACAGAGGCTAAAGGAGGCTGGCAGTGTTTACCATGATCACAAACCTTCAACTGTAGTTTTTAGTGATGCTTGTGCTCCAGTACAGAGGTGTATGGAGGAGATGGCCCTCTGGACATTCCCCACAAATACACACAGTGTTCCTAATAAGCCATAGATTTTTACAAATAGTGTACCCTAGGTCACTCAACATGCTGTCCATAGAGGTCCACCTATTATTTTGCCCCACAGAGACATCCTAACAGTCGAAATGAAATATGGTCCAGATATCAGAGACACAAACACCACTCAAGTTCCTTCCCATCAGGAGGCCTTGGAAGCTGAGATACAAACCTCCATGTGCTATCCTGGCAGGGCTGAGAGCACCTACCCTATTGATCCTACTAATATTTGTAGTCAAGGGTCCCAAGGCTTTGGAACTACATCAGTTGTCTCCAGAGCTGCCCTCAGTTAACCCTTCACACTCCCAGAAACAGGAACTAGGTTCAGTCCATGGCTGTGAGATTACTTGGATATATCTGCTGCAGGTTGGGGTGGGTGCTGTACTAAATAACTGGTCTAAGGATCCTTCTCTGAGTCCAGGAACACAGTGGGAGGGCAAGGAGGTAGTCAGGGAAACATGTGACCCTCCCTAACAAAAGGATCTTTTCTTTTCAAACAGGAGAACAGAGTAATGGCTGAGATCTCCCCTGATGTCCTCTGCCAACAAGATGGCACATTGGGAAGGGACATTGCTGTCCAGGAAAACCAAAACAACAGGACACCAGTGGACAATCTAGCACTGACCTCCACCAACACTGACTTCGCCTTCAGCCTCTACAAGGAGCTGGCTTTGAAGAATCCAGATAAAAATATCATCTTCTCTCCATTCAGCATCTCAACAGCCTTGGCCGTCTTGTCACTGGGAGCAAGGAGCAAAACCCTGCAAGAAATTCTGGAAGGTCTCAAGTTCAATATCACAGAGACCCCTGAGGCAGACATCCACCGGGGCTTTGGGCATCTCCTCCACATGCTCAGCCATCCAGGTGACCAGGTGCAGATCAGAACAGGTAGTGCCATGTTTATTGAAAAGCACCTGCAGATCCTGGCAGAGTTCAAGGAGGAGGCAAGAGTGCTGTACCAGGCTGAGATCTCCACAGCTGACTTCCAGCAGCCTCATGAGGCCAAAAAGCTCATTAATGACTATGTGAGCAAACAGACCCAGGGGAAGATCAGTGAACTGATCTCAGCACTGGATAATCAGACATTAATGGTGCTGGTGAATTACATCTACTTTAAAGGTGAGGATGGACACTGTTTCAGGGGTTGATGGAGAAGGATTTTGTGTCCATATTCTGTCCACAGGAAAGGAGTAGCTCATGAACTTGGAAACATGAAAACATCATTTTTCATTTCTAACAGGCCTTACTTCTCCTCTGGAGTGTTCTAAATAATGTTTACAGTTCATGGTACATACTCAACAGGACCCCTGTGCTCTCAGCCTAACAGGGCTGAATTTGGCTGTGACTTAAACTTATTGACTAGGAGAATGCATAGATGACATGTCCATCCTACATGAATGGTTAGTAGCCATGGCTTCTCCCTGCAGATTTGGTGTCTTAGTCAATATTCTATTGTTGTGAAGAGACACCATGACAATGGCAACTCTTATAAAGGAAAATGTTTAATTGGGGTGGCTCACTTATGGTTCATAGTTTCAGTACATTATCATGATGGTGGGACAAACAGTGTGCAGACAGACAAGATGCTAGAGTGGTATCTGAGAGTCCTACAACTTTCAGACAAGAGGAAGTGGTCTGGGATTCTGGGCAATATCTCGAGCATTTATGAGACCTCAAAGCCTGCCTCAAAAGTGACACACTTCCTCCAACAAGACCACACCTACTCTAACAAAGTCACAACTCCCAATAATGCCACTCCCTATGAGTTTATGGGGGCCAATTGCATTCAAATTACATCAAAAGAATTCCCTCATTCAGCTCATTCCAGCATTTTGAAATGCTCCTAGAGAATCTATTTGCTAGAGAACCTATGTCTTTAGGAGGTCTCAGGTGGTCTGGGACTTCTTGACCTAAGGAGCCTGGCTACCCAATCTTAAAGGGGGAAAGTAGCAGGTACCATAACTCCTGAAGAGCCTGTCACACATTCCTATACAGGACCTCTCCCTGGGCCTTTTCTCTAATGCTGGACATGGACATGGAAGAGCAGGGACTAAGGAAAAGCCATTAGTGAGAAGGAGGTGTCAGGCAGGCAGTGTTCTGTGTTTAGTGTCTCATTGATCAATGGAATTTCAGTTGGTAAAATTAGTATTCAAAGCAGACTGCAGGGTCACAGTGCTGACCCTGCAGGGAGTCTGTGGAGGGCGGAGGGGCAAGAGTGTTTGGAGACCAGACCTGAATTGCTGTGGGTAATTGTTAGTGGGAACACATCCAGAACCCACACCCACAAAACCCTACCTGATAGACCAGGAATGAGGCAAAGTCCCACAAAATGATTCCTGATAAAAAATCTTGATGTGGCTGGATATGGGGTGGATTTCACACTCTAGACTCTGGACAGGCCAAAGCAGAGGAAGATAGGCTCTGAGACTATACACAGAAAACCAACTGGCCATGGACAGAAGAGGATAGGAGGACAGAGGACAGGAGTCCAGGATGGCCCCAGAGCAGCTGTTCTCTGGAGAGAGGGGAAGCAGAGTGATGGCCTGAAGGATTAGACTGCAGCGTATCTATTCTGTCTGCTGGGCTAGGACCTAAACTCCAAGGCTGACTGGCTGTGAGCTGGGTATGAATCTTTATGCTCCTGGAACCTGAGGCAAGGAAATTGTTAAAGTACCATGTCCCCAGGGCATTGCATGTTGCTACATGCACTTTGGATATTGGGTAAGTCTGAGTAGAATATCTTTGATTCATGGAGGTGAAATGGATAATATGGGAGAAGAAGTGTCATTACCCATGTCTTAGTCAACCAACTATGGGATCCTGGTAATCCAACTCTGGGGAGTTGAAGATCTCACCAGCTTCAATGTAAACAGACTCATGGCTCTGGGCACTGACTTCCATTAAGGTGGTTCACACTGAGAGGCACCATGGACAGATCACAGCATGGGAGAACACAGTCTCTCTTGTCCTGTTCTTCCTAAAACCAGACCCACAGGACATAGTCTTCTATACATGTCTCCTCAGGGGGAAGAAGGGTTCCTCAACTCCCCAAGCTCCCGGTTCCCCAATTTCACTCTCTCTGTTACACTACCCCACCTTCAGTCACTGGCTGTTTTTCAAATATCTCGTTTAGGGAAGCTTTAGTTTTGAGTTTCCCTTTCCAAACCAAGTCTTCGGATCACTTCTCATGCATACTTCTACAAAAGCCAATGTTTTTCCTAATCTAGATTATGCAACCAGTAATGGTCCCTCTATGCTGTTGAAGATTGATTGATTCCTGTCAAGACTGAGAATCTGGGCAGAAATGGGGTGGAGGTGGGATCTCTCTGCTAATTGTACAATCTGATGCCCTGTTTCCACATTTAGGGAAATGGAAGACACCTTTTGAGCCTCATTTCACACGTGAGTCCGACTTCTACTTGGACAAGAAGAGGACTGTGAAGGTGCCCATGATGCACCATATGTTTCTGACCACACCCTACTTCCGAGATGAGGATCTGTCCTGCTCTGTGGTGGAGCTGAAGTACACAGGCAATGCCAGTGCCCTGTTCATCCTCCCTGATGAGGGCAGGATGCAGCAGGTGGAAGCCAGCTTGCAACCAGAGACCCTGAAGAAGTGGAAGGACTCTCTGAGGTCCAGGTGTGTGTCCACAGGAACCAGAGCTGGTCTGTCTCCCCATCCTGCTGTTGGCCTGAAACCCTGTGTCCCTGTCCCTCAGAGTGTCAGGAGAACACAGTGAAAAGGCTGGAGAGTCAGCAGGGTCAGGTGGAGCAGAGGTGACTTTCTCTCCGCTGACTCAGGAGTTTTTGTACAGGTTTTACTGTCATTTTGTTGTTCACAAGATGACATCAGCAAGAGCTGAGGATTGTTCTGTGTCTAACAGGCTGTAATTACAGGGAATCTTGAATGGGCTTTGGAAGTCAAAGGGGAGTGAGGTTGAGATGAGATCAGCTCTGAGAATCAGCTCTGCCCTGTGTATCCATCTCATCCCCTCATCACTTGTTCATTCACCATTCATGCAATGATGACTTGAAGACCTGCTGTTATGTGCTCTCATTAAAACCCTAAGAGGATATCAGAGACTCTGGAATTAAATTTCTCATCCTTGATGGCTCCTCTTGGAGAGGAAAAGAGAGTGTTGAGATGGAAATACAACTAATCATTATTTGATTAGTTAAAAGGTGAGGAGGCATGAGATTGAGGAGAGTGTTCAAGGATTAGGAAAGCTGGAGTCAGATACAGAGTGAAATTTAATATACTAGTATCATTAGGAGTTGTCTGAGGGTCTACAGATCAAGCAAAGGACTCCATTTTGTGGATCTTGGAGGAAAGCATTCTCCTCAGAAGTATCAAGCCTCATTGCCTGGCCCCTGTAAACACTCTCAGGCACTAATGGAAAATCAAGTGATCTAGTCATGGATGGAAAGAAGGCTGCTTTCCAGTGAGAGGGCTGTCTCTGGTTCCCCAGCTATAAAATGGGTTGATGGGACAATGGCGCCCAGTGACTCTTACATTTCCCCATTTCATTCTCAGGAAGATTGATGATCTCTACATGCCCAAGTTCTCCATCTCCAGTGACTACAGCCTGGAGAACATCCTTCCACAGCTGGGCATCAAGGAAGTCTTCTCCAAGCAGGCTGATCTGTCTAGGATCACAGGGGCCAAGGACTTGAGTGTCTCTCAGGTAGGCCAAGAAACACTGGGTGGTTCACCTTAGTGCCTGAATGTGGGTGGTGAGAATCAAGTGGTATGTGAGGAAATGGCAAATGTGTGAGAAAGCCTGCATTTCTGAGATTCCCTCATCCTGGGAGAGCTGGATTACAGCCTAGAAACTCCTGCTGGATACCATGCAGCCAGTCCCTTGTCTACACCCTGAACATAATCTCACACTGGATCACATGGTGGGAAAGAACCTATGCTTGTTCTTAGACAAGGATAGACACTGACCTTTACTATAGTGCAAATACCACCAACAATCCACTGCAGGGCAAAGCACTTCAGCCTCAGTTTCTTTACTGCAGAGCTGGTCCAGTATTTCTTGATTAGGACACAGAACAGCAGCAGTAAAGGAAATAACAAGGGATGAATTCAGTTGGGATGAAAACATTAAGAATAGGAGAGAAGATGCCTTAGGATCCCACACTACATTCCCAGATACAAAGTCTGGCATTTCTGGTGTTCTGTCCAGTGAGTGACCACTCAGAGGCCTGGGCTCAGATCTGTACCAGCAGGGCATGGCATTCTGGGAATGGGAAGCCATGCCCTGTGCATTGAGGTTGTATGTCCCATGGAGGATAGAGCAGGAGAGATGCTGTAGCCCACACTGGCTGCCAGCACCCTGGCATTTTCCCTGTGGGTCTTCTGAGAAGCTGCCTGTGGAGTAAGGACTGGCATTGCCTACACCCAACCTCCAGTTTGAGGAAGGGTTTGAGGACAACACAGATCCTCAGAGACTGCGCAGACCCAGGGCATGCCTCATCTCACACCCTGAGCAGAGATTTGGAAGCACCAGGGGTGGAGCTCACTGTAGGAACAAACAACTTCACCAGCAGCTGAGGCCAGCAGTCAATGTTGCTTCAGGAATCTCCTCTCCTGCCCTCCCTGGTCTCCAGTGAGTGATGTCTTTCTCCTACAGGTGGTCCACAAGGCTGTGTTGGACGTGGCTGAGACAGGCACAGAAGCAGCTGCCGCCACAGGATGCTGTCCTGTGGGATCGGCTCTAATTTTACAGCCTCTGAAAATATATTTCAACAGGCCATTCCTGGTGATGATCTCTGACACAAATACTCAGACCCCACTCTTTATGGCCAAAGTCACAAACCCCAAGGAAAACTAGAACTTCACAAGTGGTGAGGCTTCTTCCTAGAAGACAGGGGTTGAGCTTGTATGTGGATCTCTATGTGCATTTTGGCTTCCAAGCTATGATTGGCTGTGGCATGCCTGGATTGGACAGTGACAGTGACTAACTGTATGACTCCCACATACACAGAGACTGGGTACATTCAGTGTCAGGCTCCCAGTACTCTTGGCAGCACTAGTTCATGTTCCTGAGCTTGAACTCTGTCTTTGTAGCCCTGCCTGCTGCCTCTCCTGTATCTGCTTCTACCCAAATCCTGGGCCCTGGCAGGTAGGCTCAGTCACTATCTAAGCTCTGGTTATGTCTGCCTTCATCAAAAGCAAGCTTGATTGAACTATGCAACTTTATAGGTCAATCATGTAGAGCTCAGTCCCAAGACTGAGATGGGAACTTGTCACCCTGAGTCTATTTCCAGCATTTGGGACCACTATGTACCTAGTTCCTGCCTCAAACTTTCCCTCCTTCAGGCTCTGCCACCACACTGTCCCTGCAGGGGCTTCTGACCCTGCTCATATCTGGCACATTGTTGGTTCCCAAAATCCTGCAGCTTGCGGAATCGGTTGGTCAGACCAGCTCCTTTCCCATAGTACACCTACTTAGGGTAGAGGACCCTTTTTTTAGGTGCCCCACTGACCAACCTCACACTACAGATGGACACCTCCACCTTCCTTGACGAAAATGTAGGGCTTTGAGCAAATGATCAATAAACGTATAACTGCACAGAAAGTGTCCAGGCCATGTTCACAAAGCTCCTGTGGGCAGGGGTGTGGCCTCTAGTGACCACAGGGTAGTAGATAGTGTCACTCACACTCTGTGACTCCTGTGATGGACTTTCTGACCTACATGTTATTATCAGTCCTTTTTAATAGATATGGAAACTGAGGCACAGAGAAGCTTAGTTTTTTCCCGTGACCTCACAGCTAGACATTATGACTGGCAGGACATTATGTTCTTCAAGAGTCCTGATGACAGAGGAACAGTTTCCATCAAGCCAGGTTCTTTGCACAGGTATCACCATGGTAGTGTGTAGGTGGATCATTAAACGAGGCTCTAAATCCTTCATATTGAACACCATGAGTCTATGGTTCATGTGACCTCTGAGCTTAGGTCAAAGGAGGATGAGAAGGTAATCAGATGACCAAAAAGAACTCTTTTGGCAGAACATACAGCACAGAGGCATTTATAAGAACCACTGGTGTTTAGGAAAAGAAAAAAGTCACCATATATCAGTGCACCTGGCCCTGAGAGGATTTTAAAGGACTCAGAACTACAGAGAGCTTTGGAGTGGTGAATCACTGTTCCTGTCTTGGGAACCTCATAACATGGTGTGGCTATAAAGCAGAGAGCTGCTCTAGGCACATGTGGGGATTGTCACTGAGGACAGCTTCAGGGAACATCATGTCACACTTGGAGAGGAGAGTAAGTGATTCAGCTCCAGGATTCACTGGATCAGCGTCTGGACAGAGAAGGAGAGGAGGACACTGGGAATTTGGGTTTGAGTGCTGGGTGTCCATAGGGCGTTTGTGAGCTCTGAAACTCTGCTTGAGGCCTGCACAGATAGGGAAGGTTGTCCATTCAATTTGAGATATCCTTTAGTCTCAAGACTCCTAATAACACACATTGATCAGGTGGACATGTAGTGGTGGAGAATTACAGCCTGGAGAATCACACCCTGCTGGGGGCCGCAGGAATATATCATAAGAACTCAGCTGGTAATGGCAAAGTCACTACCTGGAGGGATCAGGGAATTGTTCCAGAGGAAGCTAAATCCCAAGGAGCTTTTGGTGTTACTTGGCTTGCTATATATCAGCTGTATTCTGCTATGAAAATCATGTGTGCCTTCATAGATTTCCCAATTGACTTTTCCCTAAGAAGGGCTAACAGTGTGGACTGATCACTCTCTGGACATACACATTCCAGGTATTTGGAGAACAGCCTCTGGAAAAGCTTTCTCTGAAATCAGATTATCTCCCTTAGCCACTTTCAAGGATCAGCACTAATAACAGTCCACTTGCAAGTCTCAAGATTTAAAGTAAATTCCACAAGGAGTCACCACCTAGGTCAGGTGGATGTTAAGTAATAGCCTTACACAATTTAGCTCAGACACTCCTTTCTTACAGCCTTACTAACTTTATAGACCTTTAACTCCTTACCTAACCACTTCTAGGAATATTTAGATAACTTTCTGTGCTGACAACTATGCTCAGCCAGAACCCCAGTTCAAGCCTCCCTGTAATTATCATCATTGGCAGCATCCAGCCAGGTCCATCCCCAGATGGAGGAAAGTACCTTATCAGAGATACCTCTGTACTCTCTAAGAAAAGACTTAAGCACCCAGGCTACCTGTTTGAGAAGACCTGGCAGGCGTGTCAATTAAGCTTTACTTCCTCCTTTCCCTTGAACAGATAGGAGCCACAGGAAAAAAGATCACAGTTTTCTTTTCTCCCATTGACCTAGCAACTTATAGAGTCTTAACATTTTCTACCAATCACATTTAAGACTATAGTGGAGCACATTAGATCCCTCTTCTTAGATATTACCTGAATTTAGCCTTTTGTTAATTCATTTCCCCATTAGTCACTTCCCTTTTGGGTTGCAAATGATAATTAACAATTACTGCCTTTCTATGTGATTCTTATCTCCCCTCTGTTTGACCCTGGAAGCCTGGCTTTGCACTGCCCAGGGATTACTGCTTTTAATTGTATATATACCAAAATTTCCAGGGCATGGGGAGGCAGAGAAGAGAAAAGAGAAGGGAAGAACTAGATGGGTAAGAACTTGAGAGGAACAAACTGAGATGGGGAAGGACTAGATTGAAGGACTAGAAGAGAGGACTAGAGGAATGAGATGGAAGATGAGGAAGAGCCAGATGGGGAAGTACAAGATGAAGAAGAAACAGATGAGAGAGAAGGTGATGGGAGAGAAGCTGATATGGGAAAGAACTAGATGGATGAAAATTTAGAAGGTGCAGAACTAGATGAAGGAATTAAAATAGAACCTAGAGGGGACAGCAGATATATGTAAAGAGAAATTGGGCAAGAAAGAAGCTAAAAATGAGAGCAGAATATAAGCTTGTAGAGAGAGACCCAACACAAAAATAATAAAGTGTATGGACTATGGAGTTTTGTGTATATAGATTCATTTCTTTTCTTCAAAGATTAATTATCAGCTGGTTGTAGGTTCTTCCCTGACCCTGAGAGGGGATATCGAGGGGCTGGATGCCCATACTCTCCAATAACACACAGAATTCCCTTCCCCAGTGTACATCAAGGTACCACTCCATGAGGACAATGGATAGATAAGAACAGGACCTGCAGACACTAAGAGATCATGGATGCAAGCATAGACTAATATACCCAGCAAAACTTTCAATCATCTTAGACAGAGTGAACAAGACATTACAAGACAAAACCAGATTTAAACAATACTTATCCACAAACCCAGCCCTACAGAAAGCACTAGAAGGAAAATTCCAACCTAAGGAAGTCAGATACACCATGAAAACACAGGCAATAGATAACCTCACAGCAGTATATCCCAAAGAAGAGAAATACACACACACTACCACCAAAAGCTAACTGGAATTAACAATCACTGGCCATTAATATCCCTTAGTATCAATAAACTTAATTCACCTATAAAAAGACACAGGCTAACAGAATGGATACAAAAGACAGGACCCATCTTTCTGCTGTATACAAGAAACACACCTCAGCTTCAAAGACAGACACTACCATAGAGTGAAAGACTGGGAAAAGACTTTCCAATCAAATGGACTTAAGAAGCAAGCTGGTGTAGCTATCCTAATATCTAACAAAATAGACTTCAAACTAAAATCAATCAAAAGAGATTGAGAAGGAATTACATACTCATCATAGGAAAGATCCACCAAGATGAAGTCTCAATTCTGAACATTTATGCCCCAAATACAAGGGCACCCACATATGTAAAAGAAACATTATTAAAGCTTAAATCACATATCAAACCCCACACATTAATAGTGGGAGACTTCAACACCCAAATCTCACCACTGAACAGATCTGCCAGATTGAAACTTAACAGAGAAATAAGGGACCTAACTGATGATATGACTTAAATGAACTTAATATTTACAGAACATTTCACCCTAACAAAAAAGAATATACCTTCTTCTCAACACCCCATGGAACTTTCTCTAAAATCAACCACATACTCGGTCACAAAGCAAATCTCAACAGATACAAAACAATTGGAATAACCTCCTGTGTTCTATCTGACCACCATGGCTTAAAGTCAGATATCAACGACAACAAAAATTATAGAAAGCCTACAATCTCATGGAAACTGAATAATATCAACTGAATCACCAAAGCATCGAGGAAGAAATAAAGAAATTAAGTACTTCCTACAGTTCAATGAAAATAAATGTACTACATACCCTAACTTATGGGACACTATGAAAGCAGTGCTAAGAGGAAAATTCATAGCTCTAAATGCCCACATAGAGAAGTTGGAAAAAATCTCACACTAGTGAGTTAACAGCATACCTGAAAGCTCTAGAACAAGAAGAAGCAAGTCACCCAGGAGGAATAGATGCCAGGAAATAGTCAAAGTGAGAGCTGAAATCAATAAAATAGAAACAAAGAGAACAATACAAAGAATCAATGAGACAAAGAGTTGGTTCTTTGAGAAAATCAACAATAAATCAAGCCCTTATCCAAATTAACCAAAAGGCAGAGAGAGAGCATCCAAATTAACAAAATAAGAAATGAAAAGGGAGATATAACAACTGACAATGAGGAAATCCAGGTCATACTTTAAAAACCTGTACTCCACAAAATTGGACAAATCTAAAAGAAATGAACAACTTTTTGGATAGGTACCACAAACCAAAGAAAAATCAAGACCAGATAAGCAATTTAAATAGACCAATAACCCCCAAGGAATTAGAAACAGTCATTAAAAGTCTCCCAACCAAAAAAAAAAAAAAAAAAGCCCAAGACCAAATGGTTTCAATGCAGAATTCTATGAGATTTTCAAAGAAGAGTTAATATGAATATTCATTAAGTTGTTCCACACAATAAAAACAGGAGGAACATTACCAAACTCCTTCTATGAGGCTATAGTTACTCTGATTTGCAAGTCACATAAAGATGCAACAAAGAAAAACAATTACAGACCAATATCCCTCATGAACAATGGTGCAAAAATACTCAATAAAATATTGGCACATCAACTCCAAGAACACATTAAAAACATTATCTACCATAATCAAGTAGATTTCATCCCAGAGATGCAAGGATGGTTCAACATACAAAAGTCTGTCAATGTAATACACCGTATAAACAAACTGAAAGAAAAAAACCACATGATCATTTCATTAGCTGCTGAAAAGACCTTTGATAAAATCCAATACTTCTTTATTATAAATGTCTTGGAGAGATCAGGAATACAGGAAACATACTTAAACATAATAAAGGTAATTTACAGCAAGCCAACAGCCAACATCAATTTAAATGGAGAGAAACTCAAAGCGATTCCACTAAAATCAGGAACAAGACAAGGCTGTCTATTCTCCCCATATTTATTCAATATAGTACTTGAAGTTCTAGCTAGAGCAATACGACAGCAAAAGGAGATCAAGGGGATACAAATTGGAAAGGAAAAAGTCAAGTTTTCACTATTTGCAGATGATGTGATAGTATACATAAGTGACCTCAAAAATTCTACCAGGGAACTTC